ATATATATATTCATTATTTTATGTGTATGAGTATGTTGCCTGCATGTATGTAAGTACACTGTGTTATGAAATGCCCATGGAGGTCAGAAGAGGGCATTGAATCCCCTGAAACTGGAGTTACAGTTGTTAGCCACCATGTGGGTGCTGGGAATCCAACCAGGGTCCTCTGCCAGAGCAGCCAATGCTCTTAACCATTGAGCCATCTCTCCAACCCCAGAACCCTCGAGTCTCAGCTCTGCAAGAGGCCTGGAGCCCAGGGGATTATCAGCATATCACTCACCTTTACATGGGCAAAGTTTCCTTAGAACAAACTATATAGCTCTTTATGTTCACCTTTATTAAAATGAGCACACTAGAGCCTGGCATGGCATACCTGTAATCCCCTTACTGTGTAAGTGGAGACAGTAGGATCCCTGGGACTTCCTGGCCAGCCAGCCTCATCAAATTAATGAGCTCCAAGTTCAGTAAGAGATCCTGTCTCAAAAAATATAGTGAGGAGCAGTTGAGGAAGACCCCCGACATTGATTTTCCAGCCTCCACGTGCACTCGCACCTACACAGTTGCGTGCACAAACACTAGAGAACTACATTCCCACATCAGAGGAATCCAAAGGTGTCCTCAACAGTGAAAATGATTGTCAATGCACAGGTATGCCAGGCAGGGGCTATGTGCACACTGCCCTTGTCCCACCTCATTTCCTGGCATTTTGTGTGATAGTGCTTGGTTTTATCAAATGCTTTCCAGTTGGGCAAGATTGTGAAAAATTGAAAGGTGCCTCCCATTTGACGGTGGCACAAAACAAGTGAGCCATAGCTCAGTTCTTCTTTTAATCCATCCAGGCTGCTGAATCAATACCATAAGGTAACTTCTAAACAAGAGAAATTAGATAAATGGTGATACATACTCTGAGCATTTGGAGGACTAAGACAGGAGGGTCACTGCATGTTTGAGACCAGGCTGGATTGCATGGTAAGACTCTATCTAAAAAAAAAAAAAGTGGAGGAGGAAAAGGAGGAGAGAGGGAGGGAGGGGAAAGGGAAGCAGGAAGGGAAAATTGCTTCTCATACTTCTAGAGGCTAAAAGTTCAGGATCAAAGCACCAGTAGATTTGAGGTTTCATTCTTAGATAGAACCTTCTGGCTGTGTCCTCACAGGGTAGATGTGAGAGGAATCTCTTTTATAAAGACACTTCCACCAGGGCTGAAGAAATGGCTCAGTGGTTAATAGCACTTACTGCTCTTGTAGAAGACCCAGGTTCAGTTCCCAGCACTCACATGGCAGCTCACAACTACCTCTAACTCCAATTCCCGGGGATCTGACACCCTCTTCTGGCCTTCAAGGCCCCTGCACATATGTATTACACACAAGTAAATAACACACACATTCAGTTGCTGAGCTTCCATTACCCACTGTAGAGCCGCTTTTACTCCCTCCCTGAGGCCAGTCCAGCGTCTGCTAAGCTGGAAAGGTACACGTCTGTCTCCACCTACCTGTTGGACCGTGGTAGAGAACAGGCCTCATACCTTTACTTCACAGACCCATAAAGCCAGGGATCTCCAACCAAAAGCCTGGTCTTAGCACAGTGCAGAGCCACATTAAATCACTTGATGTTCGCTGCCTCACCACATACTCGGACATCGGTCCTACAAATGAGAAGTGATTCTCTTGTACCAGGTTCCTTTCCACCACGATTCCATTGTGCAAGACTGCCAGAGGGTAATTCAATGAGAATATTTATATTCCTTTTTTAAAATGCTGGCCATGGTTCCCACAGCCAGTGTCACCAAGCCACATAATTCTCCTATTCCCATGGTTTTCCATTATTACTATTCTCCTTTTAGCCCCAAGTCCTCTTTACCCATTCAACATCTCCCACCTACTGCAAAATAATCTTTTAACTCTACCATTTTTTAATCGTACTGCTTTCATTCAACTCTAATTCACGTCTCTGGACTTGGGAGATGGGTCAGTCAGTAAAATGTGTGCCACGCAAGTATGGACCTGAGTTCATTCCCCAGCACCCACAGAAAAAGCCTGGCGGGAGAGTGTGCACCTGTAATCCTGGCTCTGGGGAACAGAGACAAAAGCATTCCTGGAGCTTGCTGGCCAGCCAGTCCAGCTTCCAATTTAGTGAGAGACCTTGGCTCAAAATGCAGGTCGAAGGACTAGGGCAATAGCTCAGTGGGTAAGAGTGTTTGCTTTGTAAGCAAGAAGCCCTGAGTTTGAATCCTCAGCACCCAAGTAAAAGCTAGGCATCACCATGCATGTCTGTAACCTCAGCACTGAGGGATGGAGACAGGTAGATCCTTAGATTTTGCTGGCCAGACACCCTAACCAAAATGGTGAGCTTCAAGTTCAGTGAGAGACCCTGTCTCAAAAAATAAGGTGGGGAGTGATAAAGGATACTCATTGTTCTCTGACTTCTGCTTGTGCACACAGACACCCCCCAAACACCCATGCCCATATGCCACACATATAAACACCCATATGCATATGGGGTTTTTTGGGGGTGGCGGGGACAAGGTCTGTGTAGCCCTGCCTGGCCTGGAACTTACCATGTAGACCAGGCTGGTCTGGAAGTAAGAGATCCATCTGCCTCTGCCCCCCAAGTGCTGAGATTAAAAAAGTTTACAAACATACACACCAGTTTTTTTTTTTAATATTTTTATTTTGGTTCTTTTGGTCTTTAAGCCAGGGTCTCTCTGTAGCCCCTGCTGACCTGAAACTATGTAGACCAGGCTGGCCTTGAACTCACAGAGATCCACCTGCCTCTGCCTCCTGAGTGCTGAGATTAAAACCGTGCGCCACTACACCCTGCTTATTTTTGTATGTGTGTATATTGCCTGCATGTATGTAAGTATACCTGTGTTGTGCTATGCCCACAGAGGTCAGAAGAGTGTCACATCTCCTGGAACTGGAGTTATGAACAGTTGTTAGCTGCCATGTGGGCATTGAACCCAGGTCCTCTACAAGACCAGACAGTGCTCTTAACTGCTGAGCCATCTCTCTAGCCCCAGAAGTTATTTGTGTGTGTGTGTGTGTACCTGCATGAGTTTACGTGCCACATGCATGCAGGAACCTGCAGAGGCCGGAAGAAGGCGTTAGATTCCCTGGAACTGAAGTTACTGGCAGCTTCCATATGGGTTCTGGGAATTGAACCTGGGTCCTAGTGAGTCCTCTTAACCTCTGAGCCATCTCTCCAGCCCCACATAGATTTTTTTTTTTTTAGAAATCAATCTAGTAAGATAATGACTGGGGAAGACACTTGATATCAACTCCCTAGACAGGTGCACACACACATGCACAAGTGTATGCACATACTCTCAAAGACTTTTTCCAATCCCTGTCCAACTAGCCTGCTTGAGCCCACTGTCAAAGCCTATTCATTCACAGGTACTGTTTGCTGCCCGAGTCTGAACAAGTTGTTCCTCCTTCCTGGTCTTCATCTCGAGGTAGCTGGCCTTGGTCAGCGCTAAGCCTCTGTACATCAAAGGTCATGCTTCTCCAACAGGATCTCAGACTCACTGGACCTGAGTTTCGTCACTGTCAAATGAGGAAGGAATCAGTTAGACAAACCCTTTTCTTTGAATCCTGTAACTGCCACAAGAACTGTTTAACAGTGTTCTCCCTTTTCTTCTGTAGACTGTAGGCTGCTCTGGGATTACGTCTATCAGTTGCTCTCTGACAGCCGGTACGAAAACTTTATCCGATGGGAGGACAAAGAATCCAAAATATTCCGGATAGTGGATCCCAACGGACTGGCTCGACTGTGGGGAAACCATAAGGTAAAAAGGCACCAGATATTTGCTGGGAAAGCTGGTGCCAAAATGCAGTCTTTGTCCCTGAATTGGAGGATAATTGTCTTTTCTGCTTCCTACATCTGCCCGTGATTATTCGGTTTGTTCCTCGCTGGGCAAACAATTAGGTAGTTGCAAAGGAAGGAAATAATTAAAGATGCCTCTTTGCAGTGTGTACCTTCTGCCCTGGGCTCCTTAATTCAGCATAGCCCAGTTCAGTAGACTGATTATAAGTATCCTGCCTGGCCACTCTGGCCAACCTAGACCTGCCACCCCTGTTGTCATTAGGTACTGGGGAACAGGGAAGTTCTGAGAGCTCTGTGACTCACAGGGGACCTTTGGGAAGTGCCACTTTTGTCCCTAACAGTTGGAAACCTCCCCCTGTTGACAAAAGTCCATTTCTGCATGGAAAATATGTTCTGACTGTAAAACATCCCTTTTAACAAGCAAGAAGTTTGCCCCACAGTTTTCCAAACTAGAAAGAGGAAATGGAATTCAGAACATAAATTTTGTAATAAGGCAATTCAAACCTGCAGATGTAAACAGGAGTTCATTGTGATTGAGGCCCTGTTGATCTGGGACTAGACTGGGGCCACTGAGGTAGCACAGCCTAGCCCTGCTGGGTGAAGGCTAGGGAGTCACAACTGAGCTGTGGGAGGCCTGGAGCCCCTAAAAAGGTGGCCCAGCCTGGCCTGACTAAGGAAGACAAGCCAGGGCCATGACCAAATACGGCGTGGCCCCACTGACAGACACTTCAGTGTGTGAGTCACTAAGAACCCTCTGCATGCCTCCCTCGCCCCTGGGCACTGAACCCCGTATTCCTGCTCCCACCATAGGAATTTAAACAATGACAGACCAGAGACAAGTTTGAAAAAAGATCACAACCAAAAATGAAATTTTGCATGGGTCAGGATACAAGGGATGACCCACCCCAGGCCTCCCAGAAAGGAACTTGCAGAAAGCTGTGCGGGACAAGCTCTGGACGAAGGAAGTGAGAGTGGTCGCAGCAGGATCTGCCATGTTAGCTAGAGGGCAAAGGGTGGTTCGCCTTTGGAGGAAACCTTGACCCCCCAGTGGCTGTGAAAGGCTGAGGAAGGGGTTGGGAGGCAGAGTATCAGATAAGTTCCCAGGCCAGCAGGGCCACGTGGAGCAGCTAAGGAGCTTTTATTGCAATAGCTGCCCCGGTGCCTTTGCTGAGGTTCATTTCATTGTGTCTTTGTGCGTTCTTTTCTCTCTCTTCCTCCTTTGAACAAACAGAACAGAACAAACATGACCTATGAGAAAATGTCCAGAGCTCTGCGCCACTACTACAAACTAAACATCATCAGGAAGGAGCCTGGACAAAGGCTTTTGTTCAGGTAGTACTTCCTCTTTCTCCTTTCCTTTTTCAGGGAGGGCAGGATTTTCTTTACTTAAGTGGGAGGAGGGAGACCCAGAGCTATTATTGCGTGTATTACTAATTGGAAAGTAAGTGCTGGTTTGTTAGGATTTAAGATTTTTTTTTTTTTTAAAAAAAAAAAAAAAGAAACTTAGGTCTGTTATATAGAAAGCCAAAGCTAAATAAACACAATCTAACTCACCTTTAAAATAGCGTAGTAACCAAACAGTATTATCTGGCATTGAATCTGCTAGAGTCAGAGGGATCAATCAGAATCACCATTGTCAAGGGCAAAGTGAAAGACTTCAGGTTATCAAACCTAGAAACTGCTTTTTGAACCTGTGTTTCTCAAGCTTCGGTTTTATGACCCAGAGATGGGTGTAATTGGTCAGTAACAACTACTTTTTAATGAAATGGAGAATATAATGTGACGAAGTTGAAAATATCAGACTGTAGGCACATGAAGCAAAAGTGACCATCAATTCATAAAGATCTTGTTTTGTGTGTGTGCAGATGTGTGCATGCACATGCATGTAGAGCCTAGAGGTCAACTTTGGTGTCATTTCTCAGATACTGTTTTGTTTGTGGTTTTTGTTTTGAGACAGGGACTCACTACATTGCCCAGGCTGGCCTGGAACTCACAGAGGTCCACCTGCCTCTACCTCTTGAATGCTGGGATTAAAGACATATGCCATGATACCTGACTACCTTGGGTTTTGAGACGGAGTCTCACACTGGCTTGGAGCTAGCCAAGGAACCAAGGATCTGCCCATCTCCTCCTCTCCAGCACTAACACTACCAGCCATGTGCCACCACACCCTTTTTTGTATGTTCGTTCTGGGGATTGAACTCAGGTCCACATGTTGAGCTTAGCAAGCACTCTCGGGCCAATCTATCTCTCCCCTCTTGATGTGTGTGTGGTTTTTTTTTATGTGTATGCGTGTATTGCCTGCATGTAGGTAAGTGCACCCATGTTGTGCAGTGCCCAAGGAGGACAAAAGAGACTGTCAGATCCCCTGGGACTGGAGTTTCGGACAGCTGTTAGCTGCCATGTGGGTGCTGGGATTCAAACCTGGGTCCTCTGCAAGAACAACCAGTGTTCTTAACTGCTGAGCCATCTCTCTAACCCCTTGATATATTTCTTATAATGTATCATGATCAAAAAAGTGCAAAAGCCACTGAACTATGCAGTTTTCCCTCTTCAGAAGCCTCCATAACTAATGGTTTCCAGCCATGTAACCTACCACAGAGCTTGTGATTCCCAAAATTAGAAAAGAAGGAATGAAAGGACCACAGAGGAAAGGCACGGCATGTGTGGACCCCATTAGTGACTGACTTGAGATAAAGAGAGGTCAGCAAGTAGAGGTAATAAAAAATGACACCATGTGTGGACAGCCACACTGGCCACCAGAAAGAGCAGAGCCAGACACTGGCCACCAGAAAGAGCAGAGCCAGGCTTCAGCACAGAGGCAGAGTGATAAAGTTAACATGTCAGTGCTGTCATTCCAGATGAAACCCACTGAACACAAAGTGAGTCTTGCTTATGCTCTGGCTGCAAACAAAGACTCACTAAAGGGAAGTCACTGATAGTAGTTGGGGCCAATTAGTGAAAACAAAAAGGTCCTTTTTCCTTTGTCTTTCTAATTTTCCAAAAGCTTAACCTTGCCTGATTATCAAAATACCCAGTTAAACCAGGTGTGGTAGAGCATGCCTTTAATCCCAGCAGAACCAGGTAGAGCTCTGAGTTTAAGGCCAGCCTGGTCTACAGAATGAGTTCCAGGGCAGTGGACTACATAGTTGGACCTTGTCTCAGTAAAACAAAAGGCTAGGCAAGATGGCGCACGCCTTTAGTCCTAGCACTTGGGAGGCAGAGACAGGCGGATTTCTGTGAGATTGAGGCCAGGCTGATCCACATACTGAGTTCCAGGCTAGCTGGGCTTACAGGGAGACCTTGTCTCAAAAAACGACCTGCCCCCCCCCCCCAAAAAAAATGACTCCGCTAACATTGTTATATCCTCTGGGTTAAATGCAAGTTTTGGATTCTGTTCCCTAGGCTAGCAGTATTGAATGGAAGATGATGGTAGGATTCTTGTGGGTCTTTATAAAAGTCTAACTCTTGGGGTTGGAGCAATAGCTCCACAAATGAGTGTTTGCTGTACAGACAGGAGGACCTGATTTCAAACCCCCCAGCATTGTTGACGGTGGAGGCTGGAGGGTAGCTGGGGCTTGCTGACCACCAGCGTAGTAGCTATACGTGAAAGACACTCTCTCATAGAGACACGACATCTGAAGTCTTTCTTTGGATTTTCTGCATGCAGGTGTCCAAACCTGTGTATATAACAAACCATATATAGCTTATCTTTAAAAACAAGAAACATAGGGGACTGGACTGGAGAGGTGGCTCAGTGGTTAAGAGCACTGGCTGCTCTTGCAGAGGATCCAGATTCAGTTCCCAGCACCACGTGGTGACTAACTGTCTGTAACTCCAGTTCCAGGGGATGTGATGCCCTTTCCTGTCCTCTGGAGGCATTGCATGCACACTTACACACAAAATAGTTAAAAAAACACAAATTTGGGCATTATGGTGCACGCCTTTAATCTCAGCACTCAGGAGACCAAAGCAGGTGGATCACTGTAATAAGATTAAGGCTGGCCTGGTCTACATAGCAAGTTCCAGACCAGCTGAGGCTACAGGGAGATCCTGTCTCAAAAAACCAAAAAGATAAAAATGAAAACTTAGAAACACAGACAAGCGAGCTATACAATATATCTGTATGGACCAGCAGTAAAACACACTCCGTTGGGTGCTGTTTTTCTCAGTTACCCTCCACTCTCCAGTGTTAGTCATTTTTCAGGCAGGGAAAAAGGACATTTTTTTCCTGCTCTAAAGTAGCATTAAAGCTTGAGTTTGGTAGCTCTCTGGATTGGAGTGGAGGGTGCAGGCACTCTCAGGAACCCAGAATCTCTTGACACTTCCGTTTCCTGTTCTACAGGTTCATGAAAACCCCAGATGAAATTATGAGTGGCCGGACAGACCGTCTGGAACACCTTGAGTCTCAGGAGCTTGATGAACAAATATACCAAGAAGACGAATGTTGAGGGGACCCACCACCGCCACAGGCTGACCTCGAGGGGAATCTGCCCACAGGGACTGCTGGAGGCCTGGCGGATTGGGAGGGGGATGGTTGAAATGGAAGAGACCCAGAAATGGCAGGAACACTTCCCTTGCAGACCAAGAGGGACCTGGAGCACCTTAGACAAACCACCCAGCAAAGGCGGGGCTGGAATCCTGGCGGAGGACATGACTCACCTGTCACTCTAGTTGCTTCTCCTTTGGGGTCTCCACCTGTAACTCCTTACCCTGCACCTGTTGTTAGTCTCATGGTGTTTCTGTTTTTGTTGTTTTAAGACCATGCAGTTTGACTATTCATTGTTCATTCAGGGGAAGACATCACACGTTGTTTTCCTATGGAAATATATATCTATTATATATATCTAT